GATGGTCATGGGGTGGTGATGGTCATGGTGGTGGAGATGGTCATGGTGATAGAGATGGTCATAGGGTGGTGATGGTCATGGTGGTGGAGATGGTCATGGGGTGGTGATGGTCATGGTGGTGGAGATGGCAACAGTGGTGAGGATGATGGCGATCACAGTGACAGTGGTGATATTGGCGACAGTGGCAGTGATGATAGTGGTGACAATGGTGGTGGTGACAGTGGTGATGATGATGGCACTGATGGTGGTGATGGCAATAAATAAATATTGCTAAAAGCAAGTGTTTCAAGAGGTTCTGGTCCATCTCTACCTCTCCTAGCTAAGTCATCTCACCACTCTCCTGCCCCAGCTGTCCTCTCCAGATGATACCTCTTGACCCTATGTCTCCAGTGTCAACTACTTTCACTCATCAATGCCATAGACACTGAATTTTGCGAAAACAGTCTGCTGTCTGCACACAATGGGGAAGGACTCTTGGCTGCATTTGTGTCAACAGTAACTTCAGGGGTGAGGGACGGTGATGTGTGTAGGCATCTGACTGAGCTGGCTCTTCCCACGGTTGCTGGGCCAGGGCAGGTCTGGCGGCATGTGCTCTGGCCCACCTGCTCAGTGTTGGGCTGCCTGCTGTGGGGCCCTGACTTGACTCCTTGACATTCCGTGTTGACTTTGCCTGGTTTTGAACCTGACCCATCCAACCCATGGCAGGTGGGAGGAAGCGGGGAACAAGATGACTGCAGCCTGCTGTCCCCTCCGTAGCTGGGTTCACCCCACAGCAACCCCCCTGTGGTTGGTGCTGCTATCCACGTGGGGAGTCTGTCTTTTCCCACAGCTCTTCTGACCCCAGAGTAAACCCTTGTCTCACTGAGGCGAGGGCTTGTGCCTTGGCCCCTGAGGCTCTGAGAAGACATCAGTGAAGGTCCCACATGTGTCTGCGTTTGCAAGGGTCGACAAGGGGTGGTCCTCTGCATCACCTGCCCAGGGACTGCTCACCTAGAGTTCACATCTTCACTTGGAGGGCCCTGAATTCAAAAGTGCTCTTTAAATAAGAGACACACTTTAATGTGATTCTCAAATGCTTAGAACACCAACACACACACACAAAGAGGTCACTAAGGAAACTGACCACCTTGGCTCTTCCTGGTTCCAAGAGCTTCTTTGTGCCTCAGTTTCCCCACAGGAAGTACTAGCTGTTTTCTCTTCAATTAGAACTGTCCAAAGAGAGAAGGGGCTTCCTCAGGACGTGCTAAGCTCCCTCTCCAGTAAAGTACGGAAGTAAGGGGCCGATGAGCACCTGCTGGGGGCCAGGAGATACCGTCCAGAGGAGCTAGGTGCTCTGTAGACTCACGCCCAGACCCCCCACTTCTCCTTCCTCATCTGAGTTCCGTCCGTGACCAGGCTCTGAGCCCAGGGCTAGAGCCCCAGTCACTGAAGGTCGAGGAGGACTCAGGCACCCAGTTTGGAAAGCTGGTGGCCACAGGGAACAAACAAGGCCAGCTGTAGAAGCGCTGAGTACGAGGGCCATGGGAGCCCAGGCAGACGTCTAGCAGGGACTGGAGCCGGAACGAGACCCTGGATGGAGAGGGGTAGGAGGAGGAGCAACCCGAGGCGGTGAATAAAGCCCGGGAAGTGGAGGGAATTGCCAGAGAGAGCAGCACTGGGCGGGAGGAGGGTCCTGGAGAGCCAGCAGCTCTATCAGAGGGGAACGAGTGCTGCATCTCCAGTGCCTCTAAGCAGCACTGCTAACTAATTATAAAGTACACGATGGCCACATCATGACCTCCGTCTAGGGTGGAGTGGCAACACCACCGATAGCCGGTATCTCCCAACAAGTTGCACAGGGAGACCACAGAGCATGCCTGCGGCCTTCCTGCAGAAACCCAGAACCAAGTCCAATCATGAGGAAGCACCGGGGACTCGAGCTACCTGCAGACACTCCGGGCTGTACTTCAAAGGCTCGAGGTCAAGGAAAATGAAGAACAAGTGTGGTTCCCGGGTAGGAGACACTTAAGAGATGTGGGCACTGAATGTAAAGTGTGGTCCTGGATAGGATCCTGGGCAGAGAAGAACAATCTAGAAGACAGTAGGTGGCAGCCACACGATGGGACATCATTTGGTGGGTGAAAGCCAAGACGTAGGGGCCAGCAGGTGGCGTAGTGGTCAAGGCTCTGCCATGTCTGACCACATTTCAAGTCCTGGCCCTGGAGGAGGCTTGAAAATCATGCTGGGCGTGTATGCACGCATGCCCAAAACCCAAGGAGGAGCATGGTAGAGAAGGGATTGCGTTGTGACCATCCTCCCTGGTGGACTGACCTCCCACTTTGTCTCTCTCAGTGAGCATATGTGCCCTGTGGCAAAAACTTAAAAAATAAAATAAGAAAAAAAGAAGAAAGAAAGAAAGAAAAGAAGAGCTGTCAAGGTACAGGAAGACAAGGAGGAACTAGAACGCGGGCAGGTCAGTAAAGGAGCCACCCCGCCAGGCTACATATGTGTGCGCCCAGCCTGTGTCCACCCAGGACGAGGCAGAACTGTGGAGACATGTAAAGGTCACTGGTTGCCAGGGGCCAGGGAGTCTAGAGGGATGAACCCTGGAGCACAGGCATTTCCAGGGCAAGCCAAGCCTTTGTGTGTGAGGCTGGAATGGTGGATACAGGTCGCTGTGCCTTGTTCAAACCCATCAACTGTGCCCCTCCGAGCTACGCCCCACGTGAGCTGCGGGCTCTAGTTAACAAGTATCGATGTGGGCCCATCAGTTGGGACAAACATACCACACGCAGGCCAGATGTTAATAAACAGGAAATGAGCCTCAGATGGAGGGGAGGTGGTCATGGGAACACTGCACGCTTTGCTCAGTTCTCCATGAACCTAGACCTGCTCAAAACATAAAGTCTGTTCGTTGAAAGACCACTGAGACAGCTTAAAAGTTTAAACATGATGTAGAGATTAAATAATAGGATTTTAGGACAAGCAGATGGTGTAGTGGTTATGGCACTGGGCTCCCACATGGCTGACCATGGTTTGAGTCCTGGACCTGGTGGCTTGAAAATCATGCCAGGTACATGTGTGTGCGTGCCCAAGATCCCAGGAGGAAGATGGAGGAGGAGGGATTGCAATGTGGCCATCCCCTCCCAGGGAGTGATTTCTCACTTTCTGTCTCAATGTGTCTCTCTCTTTCTCTCTTTCTCTCTCTCTCTGGTGAGTGCATGCACTCTAAGGCAAAAATCTCACACACACAAAAAAAGTAAAAAAAAAATTATAATGGCATTTGATCATTATTATGTTTTATCAAGACAGATATAGAAAACTGAAAAGGGGACCAGCAGGTGGCATGGTGGTTAAGTTGCTAGGTTCCCACAGGGCTGACTATGGTTTGAGTCCCAGACCAAGTGGTTTGCTTTCTCACTTTTTCTCTCTTTCTCTTTGTCTCTCTGGTAAGCATGCATGCCCTGTAGCAAATTTAAAATATTATTATTATTATAAATAAAATTAAATAATTAAAAACAAAAGAAAACTGAAAGGGATCAGAGAAGCTCCAGGAGGAGCTGGGAAGAGCCAGGGCAGCTGGAGGGGCGTGGCCTCAACCCAGCAATGTCAGGAGGGCAGCAGAGACACACCCACTGGGCTCAGTGTAGACAGAGCTGCTGGGCTGCATTTCAGAGGAGTCGGGGAGGGAGGTGGGCTGAGAAATAGAAGGGTGAATAAAAAAAAAAAAAACAGCAAATGTAGATGACACCCTTCTGGATTTCAGTAGTTAAAAGTTTCCAAAACTTGACGTCCAAAGTGTTAGCACTTAGTTCATTAATTGGCATTGACCAGCTCCCTCTATTTCTCTGTCTCCCTCTCTCATGGAGGAAACTTTTTAAAAAAAGGAATATGGCAAGTAAGTAAAATGCTCCCCTCAGGACAGTCCACATTTGGATTTATAGCCTAAGAACCCGCAACGCATGGACATGCAGGTGTCTGCTCTCGGCTCCTGCACGTTGGCCCTGCCCTAGACAGCCTGGGCAAACGGGGCACTCACTCATCTGCTCCTCGAATGCCAGTGGGCCTCAGGGAGGGTGCCCACTTCCCTGGGCCGGTGCAGGGACAGAGCAGACTCAGCCCAGCTGCAGCTCGAGAAACCATTATGTGCCGTGTGTCTAGTGCAGCGGGCGAGCACACCCGGCGGCAGGCGCTGGCAAGTGTGTGGGCAGCTGCGAATTTAATAAATCTTAATTATCCTGTTTATACAAACAAGCAAGCTGGAGCCATTGACGTAGCAGGAGCTTTCAAGGATTTGGGGCACAGAGATGGAAAAGCGTGCAGAGAACAACTGCTCATAAATAATTAGCTTTGGAACAGGTTTTCTCTCTTCCTTTTGAGCTAAAAATACCATGTGGAATGCTTTTAGATTGGCAAGATTATCAGCTCTGAAGACAGCACCATGTCTACCTGTCAGGCAGGTATGCACATGCCTGTACATATGTGCACCTGCATGCCTAGCCACATATGCACATGTGGACACCTGGCCAGTGAAAATAACAGGAGGACCAATCAAAGAAGAATGTCGTTCTTGGAGATTAGGCACTGTCTGCAAGACCCCAGCCTCCTCGCTTACAGGACAGTTGGCACCTATCCTGGGTTGGCTGTCCCGACAGGAGTTCAGGGGACACTCCTCCTATTCCTTGGAAGACGGTGGTCCAGTGACTCACCCAAGGTGACACACACTAAGGAGGGGACTGGGTTTGGACCCAGACTGCAAGGCAGTGGTTCTCCGAGCGTGGGTCCAGGCCCACTGCATCAGCCACATCTGGGGACCTGCTAGAAATGCAGACCCTGGACCACCCTCAACCTCACAGATCAGGAGGGCCCAGCAGCTGGGCTGTAGCCTGCCGTTCTGTAAGTGAGCCAGAGGTGGCCTCTGCCCTTCGGTTTCCAGGGAGCTGACACCTTCACAGCAAGCTGAGTCCCATTAGTGCAAAAGCCAACTGGCACAGAAGCCAGAATTTTACACACTCGGTCGTTTTAAACAAGGTCTGAGCGAGTAGCTTGGCCGTTTAGCGTCTTCCTGCTTTGTGTGCCCCACAAAATGGCACCTGACATCAGCTAGCCACCGGGCAAATGAACCTCAGGGCTGTGACAACCCCAGGCAGCCGCCAGCTCTGGCACGCTCTAACCTGGAGACCCCTGCTGGCTCCCATCACTGGAGCCCTCGCCCCCTCTCTAGCCAGGACCCGCAAGGGCAGGCCGTTGCTCTTTCGTTCACGGCTGTATCCCCACTGCCTAAAACAGAGCTCGGCTCAGTGTGCGCTCGGCAAATACCAGAGAAATGAATGAATGAATACACGAGGGAAGGGCAGGGCCCAGCAGGTGGCGCAGTGGTTATGTCACTGGACTCCTGCATTGTCCACCACAGCCCGAGTCCCCAACCCAGTGACTTGGACACGTGTGTGTGCCCAAGATCCCAGGAGGAGAATGGGGCAGAAGGGATTATGGTGTGGCCATCTCCCAGGGGGGCGATTCCTCACTTTCCTTCTCACTGTCTCTGTCTCTCTCTCCCCAGCGAGCCCACAAGACAAAAACCTCTATAGGAAAAAAAAAAAAGAAGTTGGCAAATGCACACCACAGTGGTGACATGCTGCAGTGCCACTGCCCACGGTCGTCACAGGCTCTGCTATCGGCCGGCCAGGTGTCACCGACTCACAAACACTTAGTGAGCACTTAGTATGTGCCGCTGCCAAGGCCTGTCCAAGGGGACCCAGACATGGCTCCTGCAAGGACTCTGGCCTGGAGGATGCAAAGATGGGGGTCCCAACCAGTGGGGGGCTCGAAGTACAGGAGCTAGAGGCAGCCTGGACACCTGGCCCTGAGACCCCCACCCTCAGGAGCCACCAGGGCTCTGTGGGCACCTGCGGTCTCCTGGCACTCCTCCCTACGCCCCGAGGAGGCTGTCGTTATTCTGAACCTGGGCCCAAGACTTAGGCGTCGAGGTGCACTGCTTCTACACACGACCGCTCACACGATCGTCAATGCTCATCATGGAGCTGGCGAGACCTGTTCCACGTTACAGGTGGGGAAAGCGAGCCCTGGGAGGCGAAGCCACTGGCTTGAGGCCACAGAGCTGGTTGGGGCTGAGCCCAAGCACCATCTTGGTGTGTGACTGCCCTGCCCAGTCCACCGGCCGCCCACTCCCCCATGGACGCCCGACACGCCGCCAGTGGAAAGCAGGAGGAAACCCCCCAGGGACTGACAGCTCCTGAGAGACACAGGCTCATGTGCTCAGAGGCCACTGCTTGGCAGGAAAACAAAGGTGTTCCCTTGGAAAGACACCAAGCTCTATTTGGCTTTTCCAGAAGTGAGGGGACCTTCCCCAGAAAGCCTTCTCAAGGCACAGAGACTGTGGACTTCGGAGTCCGAGGCCAGAGCCCCAGGGAGCTGCAGCGTCACCAACCCAGTCCTGCAATGCTGCCACGTCTGCGCCTCCGCCTAGAGTTCAGCCAGCGAGGCCTGCTGGTGTCGGAGGCCCTCCCGGCGACTTGGCGCGGCCAGTGTGCAGCATCCAGGGTAATGACAATTACTTACTGTTACTATGGTTGTCATCACTGCTGTGCTTACTGGCTCGGCCTGCGAGTGCTGCGGGAGCAGCCCTGAGCACTGCCCAGCGCGGCCCAGAGCCCAGTCCCCATAAATGCCCCTGAGACCTCGTGGAACCTTCCAGAAAGCCCCGGAGTCCCACCCCAACAACAGTCCCAGACCCACCAACCCTCCAGGCTCCCTGCCCTCCAGCCGAGGGGAGCAGATGGCAGACACTGTACCTTTTGGAATCCAGCCGACTCCCCAGGAGAATTCTGTGTCTGTTATTTTAGGGAAGAGAGGAAAAGGGGGAGAAGTAAGTTGAGTGAGTGAAACTTAAATCCCAACAGAGCCTGTAATGGAATATTCATTTTGTCAAGGGAGTGTTTCCTTAAAACGCTGGTCATCTGGACAGCCAGGGCCGCAGGTGATTCGATTTAATGAGCTTTTTAACACACTTCGGGCCCAGGTGGGATACTGTCTGGAAGGTCTTGGCCAAGGCTGGTGGAGCCAGGAGCCACAGCTTAGGCTGGGGAGACACCTAGTGGCCAGCATGGCTGTTGCGTGGCCAGGAAAACGAGCGCCCAAGCTTGGCGCCTGGGGCTGAGGACAGAACGGGCTCTTGGACCTAGGAAACTTAACCTCTATGCCTCAGCTTCCTCATTAGTTCTTAAGGAATAAAAACAGTGCCTCCTTTACTGGGTTATCATGGAGACACGGCATTTAGTAAGGGTACCAGTAGGAATTGATTTCCAAGACCCCGCTCGGACTCCGAATCCCGCAGCTGCTCAAGGTCCCTTACATAAAATGGCTTAGAATTTGCATATAAACTGCACGTCTCCTTCTGTACATGTCAGATCATTCCGAGATTACTCACAAACAGTCTTAGCATCAAGGGAAAAGTATGCATGGGGACTTCAAAAAGTTCGAGGAAAATGGAGTTCTAGTATGAGTTTATTTGGGTGCAAAACATTTTTGAAAGCCGTGCATAGTTTATTTATTTATTATTATTATTATTATTTTTTTGGAGAGTTTTTTGCTATAGGGCGCGTGAGCTCGCCAGACAGACAGAGAGAGACAGAGAGATAGAAAGAGAGAAATCACCCCCCAGGGGGGATGGTCACGCCGCAATCCCTTCTCCTCCATTCTCCTCTTGGGATCTTGGGCACGCACGCACACGCGCCCGGCATGAGTTTAAGCCACAAGGTCCGGGACTCGAACCACAGTAGACTACATGGGAGTCCAGTGACATAGCCATTACGCTAACTGCTGGTCCCGCATAGTTTATTCATAATATACATTTTAATTTTTTTTCCTTCTCATTTGCCAGAGGGTATATGTGCTCACTGAGGAGAGACACAGAGAGAAAGTGAGAAAGCACCCCCCATGGGAGATGGTCACTCCACAATCCCTTCTCCTCCACTTCTCCTATTGGGGTTTGAGGCTTGCATGCGTATGCACTTGGTGTGTTTTTCAGGCGCCGAGTCTGGGACTCAAACCACACAGTCAGCCATGTGGGCTTTAGCTGCTCTAACCACATGCCACCAGCTGGCCCCATAATACACATCCTCAATGAACTCGCCAAGACCGCTGGTTTCAATACTTAACCAGCATCTCCTTTTTATCACGATGGCATAGCTGGGCTGCATCTGCGATGGGCTGAGGTTGTGGATGTGAAGCCCGTGGCTATGGAGAGCTGGCTACATTATTATTAGTTCAGCGATGATTATTATTACTACTATTTTGTGTGGGGACACACGGGGTTCAGGAAGGGGAGATGCTTGCTCACAGCCACTAACAAGCATGTGGAGGAGCGGGGCAAGACCAGGCTCCTGACGCCAGTCCAGTGCCGCCCTGTGTCACACTTGCCACATGAGGCGTGTCCGTGCTGCCTGTGCCACTGTCCAGCCGTGTGACCGTGAGCAAGTATCTGGGCTTCTCGGAGTCGCAGCGCCCCCTCTGGAGACTGGCGGTATTGCTAACCACAGGGCCTCTCTAAAGATGGCCTGGGAGAGCACACATGCTCTGGGCTTGGTAGGCAGCAAGTGCTTGGAGTCATAGGTCTCCCCGTCCCCTCTCCAAGTGTCACCTCAGCCTATGGCATGCATGGGACAGAGTGGGTCTGGGTCTGGGACCTGCACGTCCCCAGCACCTACCAGCAGGACTCTGGCGTCCCCAAGCTTGGACTTGTACAGCATCCACTGGTAACGCAGATCTTCCTGCTCCTCGGAGGCCTCCCTCGCTGGTCTGAGGTGAAGGAGGCGCTCGAAGAGATGCTGACCTTCTGGGACCCGAGCCTCCAGCGCCTGTGGGGAAGAGGCCGTGTCACAGTAAAGCCGGCAAAAGACCCAGACAGCCCCACCTGGCCGGTAAGGACAGGCCAATCGAATCTCACCTGACAGGGAAGAGAGCAGGGAGGAGGCAGACAGAACCCTCAAAGTGAGACTCCGACCCGTGCACACCCAAGCCGAGGCTGGCAATTGGTCTCTGCAGTGTTACAGAACGGCCTCCTACAGGGGAGGGCAGTAGGACCCCGGGCCTCCACCATCACTCCAGCCTGACGGTGGAGGACCGAGTCCTCCAGAGGGCTTCACGGAAGAGTTACCGACACATGCCAGATGGTGGTGTCATGGCAAAAACACATGGAAGGGTTCTAGGCTTGTATCCAGAGACCTCCCTGAGCATACCAGGGGTGTGTGCCCGTGAGCCAGGCTGGTTTAGGCTGGGCTGGATCATGGTGTCCGAACCTGTTGGGGGTGCTGTCTCTCTCCTCTCTCTCTCTCTCTCTCTCTCATGGAGAAAGTAAATAAATGATATATTTTAAAAAAGAGTTACCAGGGCCAGCAGGAGGCATGGTGGTTAAGGTGCTGGACTCCTACATGGCTGAGCATCGTTCAAATTTTGGACGTGATGGCTTGCTTTCTCACTTTCCTTTTCTCTCTCTCTCTCTGCTCAAATAAAGATAATAGTAATTAAATTAAGAATTCTTTTAAATAGAATTATTTATTATTATTACTACTATTATTATTATTACTATTTTATTTTGACCAGAGGAAGACAGAAGGGAAGAGAGGGAAAATGAGAAAGCAAGTCATCAGGTCCAGGATTTGAACCGCAGTCGGCCATGTGGGAGTCCAGCGCCTTAACCACCATGTCACAAACTCCAATATATAATTCATTCTTTCTTTCTTTCTTTCTTTCTTTCTTTCTTTCTTTCTTTCTTTCTTTCTTTCTTTAGAGAGGTTTTTGCTATAGGGCATGTGCACTCCTCCATTCTCCTCTCAGGATCTTGGGCACGCATACACATGTGCCCAAAGTAAGTTTAAGCCACCAGCTCCGGGACTTGAACCACAGTCGACTACATGGGAATCCAGCAACATAGCCATTACGCCAACTGCTGGTCCCAGCTTTTGGCGACTGTTTACGACTGTCTTTTCATGAGTTAATTTCCCCAGGCAGGGGAGCACCATTCCCAGAAGTACTGCAATGCCAGGTCGATGCATGGAGTGGACAGAGCAACCTCCTGTTCCATTTTCCTGCCTCGAAAATCCGTTTACTATATTGTCCTCAGATAGAGGGTGTATCGGATATTAAACCGATAAGAACAGACACTACACTTGATCTTAGCCAAAAAGAGAGAGACAGAGGGAAAGTGAGAAAGCAAGCCACCAGGTCTGAGACTCGAACCGGCCATGTGGGAATGTCCAGGCCTTAACCACCACGCCACCTGGTGGCTCAGAACATGTCCTTCTCTCGGCAATTTTAAGCTTGGCAGAGTAGTGTCGGGATCAGGTGGATTTTTCTATCAGAATGCAGTGCTGTGTTCCCCTAGGGTGGCACCTTTCATCCTCAGGACTCCTGAGAGGTCGCGTGATGTGGGTCTGGGAGGAGGAGGGCTCCGTGCAATGTGGGATGGTTCCTTAGCTTCTCAGGGCCCACTAGAGTGGACAGGGACTGTCGGAGAGTAAAGGCGTTTAAGCCAAGAACGGAAGGTCACTCCTGACGGGGCTGGAGTTGGTGGAGGGGGAATTGAGAGGGGCACCCCAGTATGACCCAGAGACGGGGCAGGGAAGCCTGCCTGGCTGTGGTCATCTAGACCAAACCTCTCACTGAGGACAGACCACTAAAAATATCTTAAAGACATCAAAGGGCCAAGAAAGAACAAGGTACTTCAGTCCAAAGCACGAGAAAGACTGCGAAGCCAGTCTGCCCTGGAGCACTCGCCACCTGGAAGAAACAGCTGTGAACGGCTCTGTGCTCTTGGCAGCCTCGCAGGGTTGAGAAGCCAAGGATCAAAGTATGAGCCCCAAAGCGGTGGAGACACTGCTCAACTCTCCCCCCGAGTGAGGCTCCTAAACGCTTCACTCCCGGAACAAGGGTGAAGCGGAAAGAAACCTGGACCCTGTGTGCACCCGCAGCCCAACTCCAAGTCATTTCAGTGGGCCGAGGAGTCTCCAGCTTCGACCTTGACTGCAGCGCCCCCAGAATGATAAAGCCCGCAGTTCCCTGGCAGTAGCAAACATAATCCTCTTTGGAGAAAGATTACTCTGAACCTCAATTGCTCATATATGTTTTATCAAACACCTTGTCTAGCACACAATCAAAACAGCCCCAGCACAGAAACAAGACACCCAAACAAGAAGGGGCAGAAGTCCTGAGCACACGGGAACACTCTAAATTTTTTTAAATAAAATTTTTTTGAGAGGTTTTCGCTATAGGGCATGTGTGCTCGCCAGAAAGACAGAGAGAGACAGAGAGACAGAAAGCAAGAAATCACCCCCAGGGAGGATGGCTACACCACAATCCTTCTCCTCCATTCTCCCCTTGGGATCTTGGGCACGCATGCACACGTTCTTGGCATGAGTTTAAGCTACCGGGTCCAGGACTCGAACTGCAGTTGTCTACATGGGAGGCGAGTGACATAGCCATTACGCCAACTGCTGGTCCCTACTCTAAAACTCTTGAGTTCTTGAAATTATTAGCTACACCCAGTGAAACAGCTATGGAAACTGTGTTTGAAGAATGAAAAAACAAGCTTAAAAATTATAGCAAGGATCTCGGGCTCTGGAAAGAGACACAGCAAATTATTAAGAGAACCAAGTAGAAATTCTAGAACAGAGGGGCCAGGCAGTGGCCCAGTGGTATGTGACGAGACCCACATGGAAAGGGCTGCGTTTCATGCCCCGGGTGCTCTCGAGCGTGCCAGGAATGTGTGCGCATGCCTGTGATCTGGGCCGCTGAGGCTGAGTGTGGATCGTACTCTAAAGACCCCACTGAGTGTGACTGTCTCCCTCTTTCTCATGCAAAAATAAATGAACTTCAGAAAGAAAAAAAGAGGGGGACCAGCAGATGGCATAATGGTGACATTGCTGGGCTCCCACATGGCCAACGTCAGTTTGAGTTCCAGATCCAGCAGCTTAAAACTCATGCCGGGCACGTGTACATGTGTGCCCAAAATCTCAAGAGGAGAATGGAGGAGAAGGGGTTGCGCCGTAATCATCTCCCCTCCCGGGGGGTGATTTCTCGCTTTGTGTGTCCTTCTTTCTGCCTCTCTCTGTCTCTCCGGCAAGTGCACGCACCCTATAGCAAAAATCTCTTAAAAAAAAAAAAAAAAGAGGGCCAGCAGGTAGGATGGTGGTTAGGGTGCTGAATCCCACATGGTCAACTCAGCAGTTCAAGTCTTGGACCCAACAGCTTGAGGGACATACCGGGCGTGAGTGCATGCATACCCCAAATCCCAATTAGAATGGAGGGGAGAGGACTGTAGCATGGCCATCTCCCTCAACAGTGATCTCTCACTTTCCTTCTCTCTCTGTCTCTCTCTGGTGGGCACACGTGGCCAGTAGCAGAAATCTAAAAGGAAAAGGGGGGAAAAAACAGACATTCTAGAACTGATAAGTACAATAATAAAAGCTAAGAAGCAACAGACTTGCGAAACAGCAGAGGAGACACCCCTGAAGGAAAGATCGGTAAACCGGAAGATGGGTCAAAACCCAAAACTACCCAGAATGCACCACGAAGAGACAAAAGGATGAAAAATAAGAGGATAAGAGACATAAAGCACACATTGAGAAGGGACGCTACACGTCTAAACGACATCGCAGAAGGAGAGAAGAAAGGGGACAAACTAGAGGCACTATTTTAAGAGGTAATGTTAGAAAAATTTCCAGAAAGAACCTAGACCACAGATTCAGGAGTGTGAATGAATCCCAAGCAGGATAGATAAAAATAAGTCCAAATCCTGACCTATCATATTGAAACTGCAGGAAAAACAAGGAGGAGAAGAGGGAGCTGGTTGGGAAAGGCCTTGTGCAAAAACTGACCTCTACACTGAAAGGTTTCCATGAGCAGGAGGACAAGGTCACACCTCTGAACCCAGAGGGTCATTTCAGCTGAGACCACCTGGGAGGCTATTGTCAAAACCAAGATCAAATTCAGACAGCAAGAGTAAGGATATGTCATCAAGGAGGGTTTGATGACTGACTAGGTGTGGAGCAAAAAGAATAGTGTGTGAGGCTGACTGCAAAACCAGCTGCGACTCCCTCACCGCCACCCCCAGGCTATGCCCATGCCCTTTGATAATCGATCTTACGGTCCCTCCCATGAAGCGGTGGAGTCTGTTTCCCTCCCTCGAGTCTGGCTGCCTGTGGCTTGCACTGTCTAACAGAGCACAGGGGAATACTGGGCCAGCTCCTGGTCTGGGCCTCACAGGCTTCACCTGCTTCTCTTGCTCTCTTAGACCTGCCTCTGCTATAAGAAGCCCACACTGTCCCACAGGAGGACAAGAAATGTGTGGTCACATCGTTCTCATCCAAGCACTCTCATCCCTAATAGCCTGCCAAGCCCCAGAAGCAGAGTTCCAGCTGACCTGCCCCTGACAGCAGACAGATAAGGGAGCCCAGCCAACACTAGAAGCTGAGTCAGCCTCAACTGCCCAGCTTCAGAATCGTGACTTAAAGTATAATTGTGGTTTTATGCCACCAGGTGTTGACGCTGTTTGTTACACAGCAATAGCTAACTGATACAGGAGACTAGTGTTTACTGGTGATATTATCCAAGTTGGGAAATATAGAAACAGACTGGTGAATGAATGAATGAATATGTGAACAGAAAGAAAAATTAAGCCATTATTTATACCCAAGTGAGAACACCTAACAAACTACATACTGATTCTTTTTTAAAAACTCCCTGGTAGCAAACACATCTATAGATGCATACCCTTTGGGCGAGGGGCCTTCGCTTGGGAACAAACCTGCAGCTCCCGTTGGCTGGTCCTCACATCCTTGGCTGTGGCAGTTCTCGTTGCCATGAGTCTAACCAGCTTGGAATTTTCTGCCTGCAACCACTGCTCAAAGTTCCTCAGGAGCTGAGAGAAATCTTCACGGCTGCCTTCCTCTTCCCAGAGCACATTCACCTGCAGGAATCACATGAGCAAGGCATCAGAGCTGAAAAGCCCAGTGGCCACCTGTCCTGGCGATTCCACTTGAGGGAGAGGGACAGAGACAAGGACATCGGATGCCCAAAAGGTGATGAGAGAAGCAGGGGCGAGGGGGTGGGGATTGATAGACAAATCCCTACTCTGCCTGGCCACATGTAGGGTCCAACAGCACTCTCTGCTGTCACCTCCTTGGTCCTCTAGTAGAAGCCACCATCGCCCTTCATCAGGATGGCTATAGGGCGGTCAGCCTTCCATGACTCTCATCCCCCTCCGTGCTTCATGGGCAGAGTCATCAGCCTCAAATGCAAGTCCGTTCAGTAAGCTCTTGCCTACTCACTGCAGGGCTTCTCGCCCCTCCCCAGCATGGCCTGAGAGCCTCAGGTTCTAGCTTGTCCTGCCTCCATGGCCCCGCTGCCCTGACCATCCTCTCTGAGCCTGACCCACAGGCAAGATGTGGCTGCTCGCTTGTGCTCTCTCCCGCCGAGGTGCTCCTCCCTGCAGGGCCACTGCTAGTTCAGAGAGGTGATACCTGTCTGGCCAGGAGATGTCCCAACCGTCCCTGGTGGCCTGGCTCTGAGTCCCAGGGACAGTGGGCGCATGTCGAGGGGCAGGTTCAAGCAAGGGGGATGGTGGCCAAGTCCTCAGAGCTGAGCGTGTGGCCAGGTGGGGAAGGGCTGGGCTAGACCCCCGTCCTCCCACTCACCTCGGGATCCGGCCCTTCTCTTGAAGCCTGCTAGACACTCACCCCACGCCGCTGCCTGGGGAGGGGGTCCTTGGGGTCGATAAGAAACCCAGACTTCGGGATGTTGTTGGTGAACACCATTTTCTTCCCTGAATCCACCTCCATCCTCTGCAGCTGCCAGTCCCTGACGAGGCTGAGAAGACAAAGGCAGCCCAGTCAACGGGGACGTGGCGAGGACACGCCCGTCATAGGAGAAGTGGCAGCCTGGGCTTCAAGGGCAGGAGGCGCTTCTAATTTTCACTTCTGGTCATGAGCCAGTGCCCATCATTGGGTCTGTGGGCACATTCCCGAGGCACACGCGTGCCAGTTCCCCAGCGTGACCCACAGTACCCTCACGAAGGTGCACTGACGCAGACGAGGAGACTGAGGCTGAAGCCAGAGTGGAAGGTAGCCAACTCCCAAGGGGGGAACCGTCCCTGCCCCTCCCATCTCTGCTAGAACTGCCAGTTGGGCCAAAGCGTGGAGCTGCTGGGGGGAGGCTCTGACCTCAGTAGGCCGTCTGCCTGCAGCCTCAGGGCCTGCCACGACTCTGCCAGCTCCCTCAGCTCCTCCTGGACCTCGGCGGCTCCCTCGGGAGATGACTTCTCTATCACCAGCTGGCCATGCGCACTGACCAGGGGCAGCTGGGCCTCCTTCTCCAGGAACTCGGCCACCAGCCTCTGAAGGACAGACGGACATGCGCAGTGAGCCAGGAGCCGGGTGGGGGTGCTGCTGTGGGGCTGCAGGGAGGGGATGAGCATCTTACCTCAACCTCGGCCTCCCGGCACCCGGCGTCCAGCAGGTCCTGCAGGCCCACGTCCCCCTGCTGGGACTCCAGCCTCTGTGCGACCACGGCCATCCACTGCTGCAGCTCCAGCAGCTCATGTCGGAAGGTGTGGTGCTCCCGCACGCTCTGCTGACGCCAGGCCAGGAGATCCTGCAGCACAGCAGGGGCCAGGGCGCCCTGAGCACCGGCCCAGGCAAAGCCAGCACCACCCCCGCCCTGCAGGACCCCAGACCCGCCCGGCCACAGAGGTCCCTGCCCAGGCACGAGGACCTCACCCCAGGAAGGTCAACAATGGCCTAAAATGTCTGCAATCCCGACTTACTGTCACAGAAAATACCAGGCCTAGGTGAGGGTGGGACCCCAGAGTTAGTCCCCCAAACACGCCGTGAGTTGGCATAGCCACCATGGGTCACGGCTATGGTGACTCCCCAAAATTCGTGTGTGATTTTGTTGAGAAGATGAAGGGGGTGAAAATGTCATCTGATGATGGAGTAGACACGTGAGGCCTTTACGGGGATGTCAGGGCGAAGGGCGTCGGGGCAGCCCAGAGACTGAGTCCTGGTGAGCCTCGGGGGAAAGCGAGGCCATTGGGTGGGAAGAGGTTAAGGCCCTGCATTCGCATATGGTTGAGGCCTGGACGTGGTGACTTGAACCCCACAGGACGCGAGTGCCTACGGGCCCAGATCCTGAGAGGAGAATGGAGGAGAAGGGATTGTGGGTGGCCATCCCCTAGGGGGTGATTTCTTGCTTTCTGTCTCTGTCTCTCTGGTGAATGCACATATAGCAAAAATCTCTTAAAGGAAAAGTGAGGGAAGGAGACAGCCAGCCACAGGGGGACACAGTGCTCTGCCCTGTCCGTGATACGAAGCCTCGGGACTCTGCACAATCCCCACCAGACGTGGCCTCTGGGTTTGAGACCTCCACCTGGAGCTGAATAGGTGCTGGCTTATAAACGGCCCAGGTGCAGGTGTTTTCTGCCGCCCGTGACGACAACGGTCGTAGCTACTAAAAGCAAACACGGGTACGTCTTACGGCCCAGTGGCGCACTCCTGGGGGGCCTGCGGGCCAGGAGGTTGGTACTGCTCTGTGTCTGAGTGGGGTACCGGCAGCACAGGTGCATCTATAGTAAAAGTTCGTTTAGCTGCACGCCGAGAAGTCCACTTCTCTGCATGTGATTACGCTGCAATACGAAGGCTTTGCAAACGCCCTTTCTTCCTCCTTCACAGGTTTCTGTTTCCTGGGCTGATCTTGCTCGGGTCTCTGAGGCTGGGGGCTGGTGCTACCATCTCCAGAGCAGGTGGACACTGCACCCAAGGGGTAGCCATTCTCCCTCCTCCTGGTCACCCAGCCTGGGACCCTCTGAGCTCCTCCCTGTCAGACCCCCAGGGCCTCCCTCCCTGTTCCAGTGGTGCTCCTCGGGACCTCAGGGTCCTCGGGACTCCACGCTGAGCCACCCCAGCCCTGCCTTCTTGTTTTCCACACACTGGCTGAGTCCACGGATGCCGGGCCATTCCTCGGCTGGGGCCACAGAGGGTGTGCTGCATCTGTTCTTGATGAGCCGTCAACGTTGGCCTCAAAGTTACCTAACATTCCACTCTCTGGGGCCAGCAGACGGCATGGAGGTTAAGGTGGCTGGATCCCACATGACTGACTTCGCAGTTCAAGTCCTCGATCCAGTGCTTGAAAACCACACCGGACATGTGTGCATTTAAGCCCAAACTCCCAACAGGGGGATGGAGGAGAAGGGATTGTGGTGTGGCCATCCCCCCGGGGGGTGATTTCTTACTTCCCCTCTCTCTGTCTCTCTCTGGTGAGCACATGCACCCTATAGCAAAACTAAATAAATAAAAACTCCACTCTGAGTTCTCATCCCACTGCTCCCTCCTGGTACATCCAGTATGGGACCAAACACCTTTGGTGACTCCCTATTGCATGGTGCTGTGATCTCCAGCATGAGTGTGTCCCCCAGGGGCACGCGAAGACCACTAGGCCGTGCAGAAGGGCAACTGGGACTTACTAGACTTAATGAGCATAGAGAACTAAAATAACAGGGGTGGGGGCTGCCTTCTCTTTAAAGACGTATGAGAGAGGTGGGACACCCCCACCCCAGCCCCACTAATGCCCAGTTAATGCGCATTGTCTGGCTGTAGGTGTTAAAGCTGACTTTTGTGGCTTTTTGGGGGCTTCTTTGGGTTCCTGAAGTGTGGGGACAGCATCCCCTATTTGTCTACTCCCCCACTTCGCCCTTGAAACCACCAGTTCATTAATAAACGTACCCAGAGCTACGTACCATTAAGTCCCACAGGCCCCTATAATGGTGCCATGTTTGCTAGAAACTCATTTGGGGGAGATCCTTTGTTGCTATGGCAATGAGGGGGACATGGCAGACAGTGAGAGCGCTGAGTAGGCACTCTGCCCAAGGAGGAGAGTATGAACGCAGAGCTGCCCACGGCCCGCACACTTCTCATATCCCACTAATAGCTGCAGCAGAAGCACCTGCTGCTCACGGCCTGCGCTCACTCCCGCTCACACCCAGACGCACAGGCTGCAGCTTTGACGGCCACGCTGACTCCTCCAGGAACGCACCTGCTGGTCAGCCCGTGGAGGACTGCCCTTCGGTTCAGTCAGAACTGTCCTCGGGCTCGCTTGCTTCTCTGGAAACCACACCACCAGAGGCACTGCAGGCGATACCGCCTGGTGCAGTCACAGAGGGGTGTGTTCTGACCTCCGATGCCCTCAGGGTGGCCATCTGGGGTACAGCTGGCCTGTGGACAAGGCTAGGGTTGGGGCACTGGCCCCTCGCCCAGTCAAAAGTTACATGTAACTTCTGACTTCCCTGAAAACTTTACTGCTCACAGCCTTCTGTGACCTGGAGGTCTTACTGACAACAGTCAGTAACACGTACTCTGTATGTTAGACATGCTTTGTTTTTGGTTTTTTGGTTTGTTTTGTTTTTTTTTTTAGGTTTTTGTCATAGGACATGTGTACTCGCCAGAGAGACAGTGAGAGGGAAAGTGAGAAATCACTCCCTGGGGGATGGCCACATTGCAATCCCTCCTCCTCCATTATCCTCTCAGGATTTTGGGCATGTGCATGCACACACGCCCAGCGTGAGTCTCAAGCTGCCGGGTCCAGGACTCGAACTATGGTAAGCCATACAGGAATCCAGCACCTTAACCACTACACCACCTGCTGACCCCATGCTATATATATTATGTACTGTATTCTTGCAATAAAGGAAGCTAGGAGAAAATTAAGAAAATCACGGGCCAGCCGGTTTTGTGGTGGTTGGGAAGACTGGACCCCACATGGCTGACTGCATGGTTCAAGTCCTGAACCTGGAGTCTTGAAAAACAGACCAGGTGTGTGCGAGTGCATGCCCAAAATCCCTACAAGAGGGAGAGACAGAGATAGGGGGGAATGACTGTGGCAAGTCCATTTTCAAGGAGGTGCTTTGTCTCTCTCTTTTTCTCTCCTTGTCTTTCTCCAGAGAGCACATGTGCCCTCTGGCAAAATAAAAAACAAAAACAAAGGAGAAAACAGAAAAAGTATAAGAAAAAATGCATTTATAGTATTTATTGAGAATAATTCACATATTTAAAAAATTCCCTTAGGGCTGGCAGATGGCATGGTGATTAAGGCACTGGACTCCCACGTGACCAACCATGTGATTGAGTCCCAAGCCTGGAGGCTTGCTTCTTCACTTTCACTTTCCGATCTCTCTCTCTCTCTCCGGTCAAATTTAAAAATAATAATAATAGGGGACCAGCAGTTGGCGTAATAGGTATATCACTGGACTCCCATGTAGTCGACTGCGGTTCAAGTCCTGGCTTAAACTCACGCCGGGTGCATGTGCATGCATGCCCAAAAGGAGAATGGAGGAGAAGGGATTGCGGCATGGCCATCCCCCCCCCGAGGGGGGCGGTAATTCTCGCTTTCTGTCTCTTTGTCTCTCTGTCTCTCTTGGTCATTCTGGCAAGTGCACACGTCCTCCAGCAAAAATCTCACAAAAAATAATAAATAAATGAAAGTAAACAATTTTTTTAAATTCCCCTATACATGGACACGCACAGTTCAAACCTTTGCTGTTCAAGGGTCCACTGGCCATATTGAAGGGCCAATTTTGAAGGAGCCTCTGGTCCCCTTTCCATGGTTCCAAGGGGAATCCATCCTGTGTGTGTAGATACCAGAAAAATCCCAGGTGGCCACTAGATGGCGCTGCAGGTGAACACTCCAGTTGCTGGGCCTGCCCACCCCTTGGTCCTGGCACAGTGGCCTGTGCTTCCTTACCCCAGGATGGGACTGCGCATTTACCCGTGGGCTGGCTGACTGCCCACCTACCAACTAGAACGTGACCCCAGAACGTGGGGCCTTGGCTGTCCAGCTCGCCTCCCTCCTCAGGCCCTGCACCCTGCCTGGCACACAGGAGGCACCAGTACGGGTCTGCAGCCTGAGTGGAGGCGGAAGGGAAGGAGGAGGAGAAGGATGTCTCTTAGGCAGGAAGGGATGAAGGAAGGGATGAAGGAAGGAAAGAGGGAGAGGGGCCAGAGTGTGGGATTCCAGGGGCCTGCTCTCTGCCCGGCAGGTGGGTCCTCCCACCAGCTCTTACCTCCAGAGACCTCTGCAAGGCCTGGTAGTCAGACGAGAGCTGGTCCACTTTGTGCTGGTGGTTGGGATTCCCCTGGACTAGAGGCCGCACAGCCTCCAGCTGTGCCCCCAGGTCCAGCCCCTCTTCCTGCAGCTCCTGCAGGACAGAAAGGAAGGGATCTTCCCTGCGCCTCCATCAGGCTCGGAGGCTCTGAGTGGAAGAGCCGGGAGTGGGGATCCCCAGGGTGGCAGCCTGTCCCACACCAGTGTCTACACCACACGGCCAGTCTGACGGGCTCACTGTCAGGGCTGGTGAGGTTTTGAACATCAGACGAAAGATCTGCGACACCATGAAAACAAACTAGAGACCCGGCAGCCCCCTAGGCACAGGACATCTGGACTCTTCTTTGCCGACGCCTCTTGATAGGAAGAATCGCTTCCCAATTTTATTTGTAAAGCCTCAAATGCACCATTGTTACTGTCTTTCAGAGAAAAACCGAATGCACGTATGAGCTGTGTTTGGGTTTCAAGAAGACCATTTTTATATCACATGCCTTTTAAAAACCAGCAAGCTTCTTACCCGGCCGGCGGTTGTCAGTGGTCAGCCTATTTACAGTCTACACGTGTTTTTAAAACATTTTTCACAATCCCCAGATAGGTTTGTGCAACCAAAGGCCTCTGGACTCATTGGGAATGCTTAGCAAAACAACTTTAAAAAACAAATCCTAACGTTGGACTTTGGAATCATTTGGACAGGGTCAGGAATTGGCAGTGAGGAGGTGCTCGGGGCCCTGCCAAGGTCAGGAGCCATCGGGTAAGGCAGCCGAGAGTGTGAGGGGGTGAAAGGTCCCGTCAAGTAAGGCTCTGTCCCTGGCTCTGGCAATCGCAGCTTTGCAGGCTGCCACAGAGGAGGGCAGCTGCCCTGGGAGCAGCCGAGCACGCTGCGAGTGACCTGGGCCCTGATGACCCTTCCCCTTACCTGCAGCCTCGAGAGCTGGGCCTGCTTTCCAGGCAGGTCTCGCTGAAGTGCATACTCGGCTCGAAGGCGGACTTGCAGGTCCAGGAGCTTCGCCTGCAATGGCTCGAAGGCAGCTCCGAAGTCCTTGTGCTGAGCGAGCAAGCTCTGTAGGGACAGGGGGCGGTTCGCAGGCCCAGCGCTTTCCTCACAGCTCCCTGTGGGAAGGCCTGACAGTGCGACCAAGGGCACCTTCTCTTGGCCAGCTCAGGCCCACTTAGGTGCCACCTCCTCCAAGAAGCCTCCCCTGAGCCCTGATGGGGTACAGATGCCTCTCTCCTGAGTCACCTGCAGTGCCTCTGCAGAAACCTTCAGTTTGACGATGGCTTTTCCCCCCACATTTCACGTTTTGGAATTTGATGTCTGGAGGTACAGAGGCCTAGTGGACAGTGACAGGACCGTGGTAACCGCACGGTGGGGGCCACGCTCTCATGAATACATGAGAGTGATGCCTCCCGAGGCCCCCTGAGCCCCCGTCCTTGTGAGCCGGGGTTAGCTGTCAAGAGCTGGTTGCTGTAAACGAGAGAGCTGCCTACGGCTCACGATGCATGTGCCTCCACCCTCTGCTCCTGCCGGCCCCTAGTGGACAGTGACAGGACCGTGGTAACCGCACGGTGGGGGCCACGCTCTCATGAATACATGAGAGTGATGCCTCCCGAGGCCCCCTGAGCCCCCGTCCTTGTGAGCCGGGGTTAGCTGTCAAGAGCTGGTTGCTGTAAACGAGAGAGCTGCCTACGGCTCACGATGCATGTGCCTCCACCCTCTGCTCCTGCCGGCCATGGTGGAGGCCGCCCTGGGGGCAAGACTGCACCTCCAGACTCCCACAGCCAGAACGGCGAGCCCACACACCCCACTTCTTCAGAAACATCCGGCCTCGGGTACTTCTGCTAGCCATGACGTCACAGGCACCGACCACCTCGAAACACACCCCACTTCTTCAGAAACATCCGGCCTCGGGTACTTCTGCTAGCCATGAAGTCACAGACCAAGACACCCTAGAACAGGGGCCGGCACACTGCAGCCCCCACGCCAGGTGCTGCCAGATGCTGGCTTTGTAAATAAAGTTTTATTGGAACCCAGCCACACCCACTCTTACTCACCACCACTGTGGCACTGTGAGGGCCAAGGCGCTGCAGCAGAGCCCGCCTGGCCTCACACAGCGCCGGCTTGCCCACCCTGCCCTGGAGTGGCCCTGGGGTATCTCCAGTTCATCTCCACCTGGGCCGTGAGCTGCAGAGGCCGAGGCCGAGGCTTCCCTTCCCCAACCTCCCAGCTCTCAGAAGCCTGCCGGGCCCTGCTGATGGGGACAGCAGAGCACAGGAGGGCGAAGCATGGCCTTGGCATGGGTCGATCCTGACTCTGTGCCCACGGCCGGGAGCCACCTACTGGACCCTCCAGTCGCAGTTTCCTCATCCATAAAACAGGGCGATAACAGGGACCGCTTCACAGGGTCGTCACTCGGATGAGACAAGACCACAGAGGTGAGGCTCTTAGCAAGTGCCTGGCCAGTCAGGGTCCCACGGATCTTGGCCACCATGGTCATCGTTATCTGATGCCAGTGATCGCTACGTGGGAGGACGAGCTGTCTGCAGCTTACTGGTCAGACTGCGTCTCCGGTCAGTCCCTTAGCAGGGTGTCCTGGCACTAGCAGCTCCCGGCTCTGAGGCGGCTCGCAGTGTACAAGTGACGTCCCTGCATTTTTGTATTTGAATTCCCCCACCCAGCTCTCTGCAAGGACTGGGCTGGATTCGATTTGACTGTACAGGTATGGCTGGGGTCTGGCTGGGGGCTGACAGGGAGCCAGGGATCAAGCCTGAATCGTACTCAGCCAGCGTGGTGGCACAGTCCATAGCAATCTGAACTGCAGTGCAGGAAGCCACATGGCTGACCGTGGGTTCGGATCCCCTAGTCGGCCTGAAAACACTCTGGGCACATGCGTGCCCAAGCTCCTGACAAACTAGAGGGCTGAGAAAGGGGGTCACGGCGAGATGAGACCCTGTTGAGGGTGCTTCTCTCCTCCCCCACCCCAACTTCTCTCTAGTAGGCGTGCAGGTATTCTCTATCGGGCATGAAAAGAAATACTTTAAAAAAGAATCCTACTCAGTTTATAGATAAGGAACCTGAGGCTGGGGGTTGGAGGGATCCGCCCAAGGCCACACTGGCAGAGCGAGGTTAGAACCCAGGGCTGTCCGCTCCTGCGACCCGGCTGGAGCAGACACTGCGATGCCCACCTGCAGCTTGCTCTTCCTCTGCAGAAGACTGTTATGCAGCAGGTCCCGCTCCCTGGTGGAACTGGCCACCTGCTCCAGGAGGGCTGTGGCTCTCTCCTGGCCGTAGATACTGGTCAGCAGGTCCTTCTTCAGCTGCAGCATCGTCAGCTGCTCCTTCAGGCGGGAGCTTTCCGCCAGGCCTGCCTGGGGGAGACAAGGCCTCTCAGCCGCAGTGCAATGGGGCAGCGTGGGGCTCAGACCTGAGGGTGTGCTGACAGACACCGCCACTCACCCCACAGCTGTTGCTCTTTCTCACCAAACCACTGGCATTGCATTTGGGCACCAGGGCACTAACTCAGCCCCAGGGTTTTGATATCATTAGTACAAGCCAGTTGTGGCAAGCCCATCAGTCTCAGCCACTGATTGGTCCAGAGATGCCTGACCAATGAGCTGTAAGGCAGGAATTTTTTTTTTTAGAGGTTTTTGCTATAGGGCGCGTGCGCTCGCCAGATAGACAGAGAGAGACAGAGAGACAGAAAGTGAGAAATCACCCCCCAGGGGGAATGGTCACGCCACAATCCCTTCTCCTCCATTCTCCTCTCGGGATCCTGGGCACGCACGCACACGCACCCGGTGTGAGTTTAAGCCACCGGGTCCG